TGTGTTTCTCTTCAGCAGAATTCTCTGACTCATAGATCATCTGTTCTTCGTAATAGTTATAATTTCCACACTACAGAATGACTCAGGGCATTAATTAAAGGAACAACTTCTCAGTGTGTACAAATCATAGTGACTAAGTGTGGAATCCTGGAGAGAATGTACAGAGTAGCAGAACCCTGCAGGAGACTGCAAGAAGACGGAGAAATGCAAAAATGAAATGAAATGAAATAAAGTAAAATAAATACCTGATATGAGCAATAAAATTTTCATTGTGATCTTACACTAACTCTCTTAATTAATCTCTAGGGTAATGCAGACTAAGTTGGGAGAGTACTTCTCTGAGTCAATCAGGGGCCCAAGGAATGAACTGAAGGCCCACTGTGTCTGCTAGGTAGATAGCGAGGGATTCCGGGTCTCCTAGGGACGAAAGTGGATGCTGTTGCTCCCATCTTGGTCCTGCCCCACCCTAATCTGAGCAGCCGCCATACCTGGGGAGAAGGGAATACCCTACGAATCTGCCGATCATAACTTAGCGTGCCAGCTACAAAAGAATGCAGAGGACTCCCTAGCCCACGGGCCAAGCAGCATATCATAGAGTCCAGAAGTAACCTAGAACACCCTGCATGCATAGTAAAACTCAGATCATGCAACTCCCAACTTTCCAATCAAAGTGATTCCATGGTGACCTCTGAACCATGAGGGAGGTCCCAATCTGGGCACTATAAAACAAGACACAGACCACAACTAGTCCCTTTTTTGCACCCTTCCTTTTGTTATCTCTTTGCTCTGACAATGGGCCCTCTCATCAGCCATGGCATATATATAATGCTCTGTATATCTATATGTTGCTCTTGCTCTATAATCCTATCTTTCTCTCCCTTGGTAAACCTAATTTTCATGCTTGTGTAACTTTGGTGCATCTGGTCATTCTTTGGCCATGAGTGCGCCAAGAACCAGCATTTTCACACTGAAACCTGGTATGTCTAGGTACTCGTTCCCTGCACCACAGCCTTGTTCCCTGTCTCTTTCTCTAAGCCCTCCAAAGACTCTTGACTTAGGAGAAAACATTTCAGATATTTGTATGTCCCAGCATTATGCTATTTGAAATATTACTTTCCTTAGGAAAGTCTTGTACCAAGACTTAAATCTTTTTCAATTTAACCAGATTGGTACTGGATTTAGTAACACAACATGTAGTAGCTCCCTCAATGAAGAAGAAATGGTTGCTGTGTTAAAAGTATACATTTAGAGCCAAATTGCCTAGGTTGATATATCAGCCCAGCCACTTTCTGACTTTGTGGAGACTGTGCTTAGTAATTAATATATGTCTAGTAACATGTATATGGTACAGAGACAAATTACTTCACCTCTCTGTAACACACGCTTATTGGAGGTTGTTACATTCTTTTACTACATAAATTACACGGTATACTATGTAACAACCTCTGATGAACATTTTCCCGTCTGAAAGTTCTCTGATTTTTGGCTCATAGCCATTGGCTATAATCTAGCTGGATAATTTCCAGAGATTTTATAACTTAAAAAAAAGAACAAAATTTCAAGGCAAGATAGGATATTTTGTAAATAAACAGACATCTTACATTCCACCTCTTTGCTTCTTAATTTCTTAAACTATATGATTGATATTTGTCTACTGGAACATAGCCTTAAGTTATTCTTACTCTCTACTGAGCAGGAAGATTTCATTTAGTGAACCTCCTTGATGAATTTCAAACTCTTGAATACTTTCTTTCTCTTGATGTTTTTTTCCACCTTAATATCCTTGACTTTCTTAACATCCTTATGTCTCCAGTTTTTTCCTTATAACTCATAAGTTCCAAGTCTCCATTATGATTTCTCTTTGTTCCCCCACCTCTTAAAAAAAATTAGTTTCCCTTTTTGGTTTGTCTCAAGGTTTATCATCAGCTATTTCCCTTTCTCACTCTATCTAATTCCTCTTAGTCACATTTCCTGTTGAAAACTATGAACTCCTACAAAGGAGTGTGAATGTTGAGGTTGAGACAGACTCAACAATTTTACAGTTCATTTATAGGGGTTTATTGACCTTCCCCTCCACCTCCCTGCTTCATGACTTGATGAGCAAACTCACTTACTCTCAAGCTTTAATATCTAATCTGTGTAGATTGTCCCAAATCTGCATTTTTTAATTCTCAATTTCTATCCAGTACTCCAGATATGTACAGCCAATTAGTGAATATGCCCATTTAGAAATTCCATAAACACTCAAACTCAACCTGCCTAAACACATCTTCCCATCTAAATCTAGTACTCTCTGCCTTGTAGTCTGACACAGTGAATGACATCACCATCCACTCGCGTATCCAGGGTTTAAAATCTCAGTCCCTCTAAATTTTCTTTCTCCTTCATTTCCTATCATTATTCACCAAGTTCTGCCATTTTTACCTCCTACAAATCTCAAGGATTTTTGTTGTTGTTTTTGCAATTGTCATTGTCTAGATCCTAATAACTTGTTGCCCATATTATTAGTGACATGGACAAAAGAAACAATTTTTAATTATGTAGTTAATAAACAAATGCTTGAGATGACATCGCCTGGAGCTTAAGAAGGTGCACGCAGATATCCAACTTCTGACAATGGCCAAGAACAGATTAAGAGGGCAGAAGTCCAGGAATGTATTTCACATAGCCAGCCAAAAAAACTTTAAGGCTAAAAACAAAGCAAAACCAGTTACCACTAATCTTAAGAAG